TTTCGTCCAAAACCAGATCTATCCTTCTCGATTAGATCCGATTATAAGAAAAGTAGAAGAAGACTGTCCTGTTATTGGACGAATTAAACACAAGACAGAAAAGTAAAACCGACCTGTTGATTGCTGACTTGATCTTGAAGCAACTGCACGGATCAGATTCCTATCCTTAAAGGTTTTTACTTCGCTTGTATTGGCTGTAAGCAACAGAGTAAAACCCCAGGATTTAATGCAGCTAGATCGATATTCCAACAGCACTGGAAATCGACAAACACAAAGCGACTACTCGGAAACTAGAAGAAAAAACGCAGAGAGAGGGAAAGCTTTCAGATTTTCGTAAGAGTCTATATGGATCCTAGGGAGCTGTATTTATAGGTATCGTAACCCTAGAAGGCATCAAATGGGCCCCCAGAGGCCGGCCCCAGAAACCCTAGGGCAACAGCTTGCTCTCCAAGCAATCTGTTTCCTGATCCTTCTAGAATACCCTGACTTGGCCTCCACGAAGGCTTGACCCGAACTTGTCAAAAATAAAAGCTCCCAGCGAAGTGCACCTAAATCGCGCCATTTCGCGCACTCGCGGCGTCGGCTAGTGCTAGGCTAGGCTAGGCTAGGCGCACGCGGGCTTGGCCCATTCCCTTGATCCACTAAAGCCTTTGAAGACTTAACAAGGGAATAGGCTTATAAACCCACAAAAGTTTCTTCCCCCACCAATGTGGGATACAAAGGAAATTGCCAACTTGCAATTCCTTTATATATAAAATTCCAACAGAGATGCCTTTTGTTTCTCATGATTTGTAGAGAAGATGACTACTACAAGTGGTTGTTTTCCATATTCTTGTATTAATAAGCTACTACATGAGCAAACACATTGCAAATAAGAAGCAAAACAATCTTTCAATTCCAATGGACACTTTATCCACAATCCTCTCTAATAAATAAATAGTTTATTACCACATGTCATCTTCTCCTTGCATTGGATACATGACATTTTCTTAGCATTTTTGAGTTACAACCTATTTTAATTGACAACTCATTAAATTATTTATATAAATGAATGTCAAATATTAAATTCGTTTAGAATATAAATGCTTTGAAAATTGCCAGCTGGTTCTTTTAGATAATCACGCACCAAATTAGTAGAGATTCAATTTTTCAAATTCATTATTAATTGATTGATTTTTAAAAAATTAAATATCTCACAAATCTCAAAAAAAAAATCTCATATACACTAATCAATTCCATATATATATATATATATATATATATATATATATATATATATATATATATATATATATATATATATATATATAAAAGGAAAAGTGAATATACCCTTAAAGATATATAAGGATAGGTACCCTAACCCACCTTAATGCATCGTTTTGTTTGATATATTTATTATAATGTTCTTAAAATTCAACCCTAACTTGATTTACTTTCAAGATTTTCGAAATTTCACTATTATTTTTCTCTTACATCACATCTTTATGTCGGACACCTACTAGGCTTTATATATTATAGTTAAAAATTAAAATTATGTAAGAGGAAGAAAAATATCAAATTTATATAAATCTTGGAAATAAATCAAGTTAAAAGTTGAATTATAAGAACATTGAACAATTACAATGTGTATATACGATACAAAATGAAATAATATTGTGAGTTTGGGTACCTAAGCTTATATACCTTTAAGGGTATATTCACTTTTCCCATATATATATATATATATAGGGTTAGGTTCATTTGAGACCACCTATATTTTGTGAGACCGTGAGACGCATTTTTTTATTTATTTTTATTTTTTTTTAGTTAATTCATGTTCCGAAAATAATATTTAAATTTTTTTTTTGATTTTTACATTTATTTTGCATTTTAAAATTATTTTTAGAATATGTACAGTGTAATATACACATTGTAATTATGTAAGAGGAAGAAAAATATTCTATTTATGTAAGAGGAAGAAAAATATTCTATTTATGTAAGAGGAAGAAAAATATTCTATTTAGAATATTTCACGTATTTTTCAATTTTATTTTTATTTTTTTTAGTTAATTCAAGTTCCGAAAATAATATTTAAAAAAAGAATTTTTAGATTTTTCCATTTATTTTGCATTTTAAAATTATTTTTTAGAATATGTCAGTGTAATATTCTATTTAGAATATTTCACGTATTTTTTCAAAAAAAAAACGGAATTTTTTTTATTTTTTTTATATTTTTTTTAGTTAATTCAAGTTCCGAAAATAATATTTAAAAAAAGAATTTTTGGATTTTTCTATTTATTTTGGATTTTAAAATTATTTTTAGATTTGGTCTCACGGTCTCACAAAATTAGAATGGTCTCAAAATATATATATATATATATATATATATATATATATATATATATTATATATATATATATATATATATATATATATATATATATATATATATGTGTTTATGTGTGTGTATGTTTCACTATTTAATCCATTTTCCTTGTCTGGATAGGCCTTACTTTGGCGTATTTTGAGATAGTTTCTTCTCCAAATCCATCATCGCCTACACACACATATATATATATATATATATATATATATATATATATATAATATATATATATATATATATATATATATATATATATATATATATATATATATATGTGTGTGTGTATGTTACACTATTTAATCCATATTCCTTCTCTGTATAGGCCTTACTTTGGCGTATTTTGAGATAGTTTCTTCTCCAAATCCATCATCGCCTACAACATCTAAAGAAGGTTAGCCCTATTACTTCCTCTGCATCTGTACAATACATTGCATCTTTACAATACATATAATTTCCCGTTTATATTCTACAAAAATGTAGAATCTGTTTTATGCTTAACATTTAAATTTTTAAAAACGTTTGCAATATCGAAATAACTAGAAAATAACAGTATATTTTATAAAAATATGAGAAAATAACAGCATACGTTTGTAAAATCTGTTTCATGTTACAAACAGATAAAATATTTTTTTTGATTTTTTTTGCTTTGTGATATACGACATTCATGTCTTCCTGTCTATCTTTATGTTTGGATTTTTCTAAAAAAGTATTTCATTCTAATTCCTTTCACAAATTCTGTGCAGGATGTGTTTTCTGGAAGAGGGTATGTTGGTATATTTTTGAAAATAACGAGAAAATAACATTGTACTTAATGTATATTTTCATATAAATAGTGACATGTAAAACTCACTTTAAAAAATATGGATAAAAGACATTTTTGTCAGTTTTTATTGAATATAAGATAGTAACAGGAATGAATCACTACGAATTTGGACTAAATGAAAAGAAGCTCCATGTAATAAGGAAGCTCCATATATTAAGTGTAAATGCAAGGAATAGTAAAATACTTTCATTTTATTTATGCTAAAGGATATTAATTGGAGGGCTAAAAAATATATTTATTGTTAAAGGGAAAGTATTACTTCAACAATGTAAATTGCATTGCTATTTCTTGTTATCATGCGTGTATTGTCCCAATTACACCAAAAATTCAAAGAACATTACAGGACTATTTATGTTTTTTTTTCTCTGTACACGTTAGGAATTTCATTTTATTACAAATAATAGCATCTCACTTTCTTTGTGGTCCGTTGCATCTGTACAACACCACCCTACTTCATTTTTTCCATATATGCAATACTACAGCTTTTGTTGCATTTTTTTAATGTACTCCAATTAGCAAACTTTGTGTATCGGTTACACTGATGTCAATGACTTAAGATTTTGTCCCACCCAACCCAATAAGTGGAGAAAGGACTCTGACCAAATAACTATCTGGTTTGAAATGACTTGCTAGGTTTTTTTTCATTGACCACATATAACTTTTATATAATTATCAATCCATGAGAATGGGTTTAATTATTATATGCAATCATTGATTTGTTTCAGTTTTGCATATACTATAATACTTAATCATCCATCTTATTATATGAAATCATAGATTTGTTTAACGATATTTGTAAATGCAATATTTTTTATATGTGTGTCATTAATATTTTTTATGTGTGTCATTAATATTTTATATATATATATATATATATAATATATATATATATATATATATATATATATATATATATATATTGTTTCTTTGTTTTCTTTCACACATGCAATAAATCTGAATAGCATACTACTTTTAATGTCTCTATATGTGTGTCATTAATATTTTATATATATATATATATATATATATATATATATATATATATATATATATATATATATATTTTGTTTCTTTGTTTTCTTTTACACGATTTTGGATAATGATTCCATTTATGGTTCAGGATTAAGAGTTGTAGATGTCTGCTTATCCATTCTTTGTTCTAAGTTCCTCCTGTAATCTAATGAATTATTTCATTTTTGCATATGTGCTTTTACATTCATCTTGTTGTCATATACACCATTCTTTTTGAAAGATATGTACCAGAAAGACTGTTTTGCCCCTGCTCAAAAAAACTGAAGAAAGGGCATTTTGGAACATTTTCGAAAATAAGAAGAAAGTAGCATTGAAATCCCTCTGTTATGTATATGCGCTTTGTCATATACACTATTTTTGAAACATGTGTAATAGAAGGACTATTATGCCCCTGCTAAAAAAAACTGGAGAAAGGGTATTTTGGAACATTTAAAAAAATAAGCAGAGAATAGCATATTACTTTTTAAAAATTATTTGTTTTCTTCAAAAAACATTGTACCATGACTGTTTTGTCCCTGCTCAAAAATATGTATAAAGGGAATTTTTCGTTTTCTGCATATTTTTATGGAGTTCCTGTTACAAGTCATATATTATGTCATAAAGTAATGAAAATTTACTCAATAGTGGTTATATTTGAACCCACCTATCATGCTTCATTCCTTTCAGTTTCAGGCTCATCCTGCTGGTGGTAAATGAAAAAGTGATTGTTCCTCTTTTACTTTTTTTTTACTGTTAAGGGCATAAATTGCTCAAAAAAATACAACCTTGTTTTCATGAGAGTGGATTTAATTATTATATGCAATCATTGATTTGTTTCATTATATGTAAAAGTATCACCTTAATAATTGTTTGATGTTCAAAATTTAATATTATTTTTTTTAATAAACCCGTGGGTCTTACAACTAGTAAGATAACAAAAAAAAAAAAAAAGGAATTACAGCGTATCATCAATGATCCATCTCTTATCATCATTAGGAAATAGGAAAACAGACTTTCATCTCTTATCATCATATCATCACAAGCTAGCGTACACACCAAGAGGCAGGGCAAGAGCAAATTAAAGAAAAGATCAAGGTGCGACTTGTCCAGGTCGGTCACCCTCGAGCTGGCTCAGGTTACCCTTCTCTCTGATGAGTTGGGTGTGGTGGTGTCGGCAGTAGAGGCGACCTTCATGTGCGATATAGTTTGATGGGCTGATCACACATCCTCCATGACTACATTTGAAGCAGCTTTTGTGGTATGAAGTTCCATTTACTGAAACCTATATTAATGATATACATATATATTATTTGCAAAAAAATAATTATTCCGTTCATAATACTTCATTTACGTAAAAGCTAGCTATTTTTGACACGATCTTAGCATAATAAGCTAGTAAGATGATTTTTTTTGATTGTACCTTTTCAGTTGGATAGACGGTGTTTTTGCAGCCCAAACATTTATCTCTGGTCCCCACGAACATGCTAGATACTTTGTTAGCCATTGGTTTCTGTGAAAATTGCTTCAAGATTATACAGTGCCATTTTCCAAATATAATATAGTGATCTAGATTCAATTTATGGGTCATACCTCACCATCAATGGTTTTCTGTGGCTTCAAAATCTTTGGTGTGCCTGAAAGACCATTAATTAGAAATCCATAGATGAATATATTTGAATTTGATGGCAATCCAAATGGTTATTTACGTACGTACCTTCAAAGCTTTTGTCTAAGCTACCAGTCTTCTTGAAGAGTTGATCAAAGTGTGGCCTGCAATACAGAACTCCCTCAAAGGAGTTGTAGTTGCTGAGCTGCAAAACATCAATCATTCTGGCATTATATATATATATATATATATATATATATATATATATATATATATATATATATATATATATATATATATATATATTTGATTTATTGATTTGGAACCTTGAGGGTGCCATTGCAATGGTGGCATCTGAAGCAAGCTTTGTGGAAGATGCGATTATCAGCAGTGAGCTTGTCCACCAGGTACACAGTCTTGTCACATGCCATGCATTTCTGGGTTGTCCCTGCAAACGCCATGGCTACCGACCCTCACAGGAGCACCAGATAAGTGGGAGGAAGGATAAGGTTGAGACTTGAGTTTAGAGAGAGGGTTGAAACTAGTGAAACATGATAAGGGGATGCTTCGGATATATGGATGGATCGGATCGGATCGGGTCCATGAGTCACAATCATTTTGTCTGGATTCCCGAGTAAGCAACCACCTGTCACCACTCATTTCCTCTAAATGATTTCCAACTAAGCAACTACCTGTCTGTCAAGTGTCACCTCAATAATAACTCTTTTTTTATATAGCTATTTTATTATTTTATTATTTGGAAAAACTGACGACACCTGTAAGTGTGAAACTGAGTTGATGTTATTTGCATCTTGGCCCTTGGGAAAAAAGAAAATAAATAAAAGTTGCCGACATGCACCGAACCTTTTCCTTTTCCCATTAGTTGTTATCATGATATTTCGTTCAAACTTTTATATTCCAAATCCCCTCTAATAGTAGTTAACTTGTTAAGACATTTATTTCAAACTGTCAATGCCATCATCAATGCATGAAATCATCATTCATCAATGCCTAATTTGTAAGATATTTATGATGCAGTTATTCATTTGAAATCTAAAAAAAAGATTCCGTTTAATGATTTTTAACTTTATTCGTAGTTGATTAGATCTTCTAATGGGTTTTAATTTAAAGCATATGAATTTGTTATTAATCTACTTCTAATCTAATACATACCGTTTAATGATTTTTAACTTTATTCGTAGTTGATTAGATCTTCTAATGGGTTTTAATTTAAAGCATATGAATTTGTTATTAATCTACTTCTAATCTAATTCATAATTCAACGTATGTGCATTACGGGATTTAGACCTTCAATCTCAAAGAAGAAGGCCAACATCAGATACTGCTGGATTAGAAGCTCTTTAGTCTTTGTTAGGTTAATACAATGTAAAAGTTTAGCATAGATCAATAAATAATTCCTGGACTACAAGAACTTAATGTTAGTTATTCTATTGGTCGTTTAGTGTATTTGGAATAAACATAAAGAGTAAATTACTAAAACCGTCCTTATAGTTTGGTTAAAATTACACGTTTAGTCCCTAACTTTTCTTTTGCACTCGGATCGTCATATGGTTTGATTTTGTTGCATTTTTCGGCCTTGTGGTTTGATTTTGTTGTATTTTTCGTCCCTTACATACATAAAGTTAGGGACCAAACATGCAATTTTGACCAAACCACAGGGACGAAAAATGCAACAAAATCAAACCACAGGGACGATCTGAGTGCAAAATAAAAGTTAGGGATCAAATATGCAATTTTAACCAAACCACAAGGACGATTTCAGAAATTTACTCAATATTAAATGATTAAGTGTCTATGAGGATTTAAACTATGATTTAATATCAAGATAGGTTATGCCTAATGCACACTTGTTATATGCAAGTTTGATCTCATATACGACGAAAGATACGTCCAAATGCAGGGTCAAGGAGGGGTAGCATCCCTATGGGGTTTAGGGTGACGCCCCAAAACCTCTACAAAAAGTTGGAGTTGGAATGTGGTGGAAAAAATGTCCAGAAGTGGCAAAAGCAGCAAAGTAGCAGACCCCAAAACTATCGTGTAGGTATCCGAGGTTGCCATGCTCAATCTACGAATATGTTGATTACTAACCCATAGACATGCGGATAAGCTAGCTGTTCGAGGATATGCTAATCTGATGGTTTGCGGATCTGATTACTCTTTGGAAATTTTGAAACGGTTATAATTTTCTGAAAACCACTAGCAACTTCAAAAATTGTATTCTATCAACCTTATCTACTTTGTGAGTATAAGTAGAAGAGATACTCGTGCTTTTTACTCTCTCAAATTTAAAAACACCATACACTTTTTGTAAAATTGCTTTCTTTTTGTGCCTAGATTTAAAGTTCTAATGTTAGATTACCCAAATTAATTCACGCAACATATCATTTATGGTTGACATATCAAACATGAAAAATGAACAAACATGATCAAGGGTTAAGATCAAATTTGGTCAATTAACTTTTATGTGTATGCTCATTTGGTTACATAATCCGGTTGAACTTTTTAAAGGTCAACTAACTTGTAAATTGTACATAAAATGGTCAATGTGATTAGGTACAACCCTTAACATTTTGGCCTGGCTTATCAATCCTATTTGGTAGTTAATGTTAAGCATGGTGGCTTTGTAACTATATAATAAGATGTTTTAGGCAACAAACTGAGTAATTTAGCATCGTGTCTTCATTTTTCTCACTTAAAAAATGTCATTTAGTGGCAAACAAAAAGTGTCACTAAAAACCCAAAAAAATGACACTAAAGACTTCTTAGAATAATAAGCGTCATTAGAAACGCTCCCACTAAAACTCTCTAGTGACACTTTTTTATTTGTAATGGTAGAAGAAAAGTTTTTCGTGACACATATTTTGTGCCACTAATGCTCATTTGTTTCAAGAATTTATGTTATTTTTAGTTACATGTTTTAAGATTTTAGTGGTATTTTTTATTCGCCACAACGTAAAAAATTATTGTGGCACATTTTGAGTGTGTAACTACACATGAGATTCAAAAACATTTCAAAAATAAATAAACGGTTGTAATTGTGATTTGTGACATTTAATTTCAATATTTTGAAGGCAAGTGAAATTGGGTTTGGGTATAATCGATGAGACTACACACCAAATAAAGATGAATTAATCAATGATCATGTGTTGTACGTTTGAAAATAAATCTACAACAAACACTAACATAATCATAATCTCTCTCAATATATATATATATATATATATATATATATATATATATATATATATATATATATATATATATATATATATATTCAATAGAAACCCAACATTCTTAGCTTTGTTATATGGTTGTAACATGGTTGGGTCAAGTTTAGTAAGACCCTTATTCACTTCCCTTTCTTCTATAAATGTACTCCTCTTATACCAAATTTCGTCAATAAAAAGTCAACAAATTCAACAAATACAAAAAATCAATAATAATTAATAATATATAACCTTTTTGAGTTCTTGTTTGGCAAGAATGTGATAGTGGCTTTCATTGATTCGTTGTCCACATATTATACCTATAAAGAAACCATAATACAATTCCATCAAAACAATTGTTGACACTGAATTATAGAATTTGAAACTAAATATTCAAAATAAAGCAAAAAATTTATTTCCCAATATATAAACCAAACAAAGAGATAGAATTGAAGTTACCAGCCATTATATAAAACCCATATGGGTGCACTTCATATCAAAACATTTCTCTGAGTTCATCTCCATAAAATATATACACATTCACACCTAATAACGCCACAATTTGTTCAAAGTGTCCAAAAAAATTGTTATATTATCATCGCAAATGATCAAGAAAATAAAATTTAACAACAACTGTAACGTCTGGTTTCTGGTATGTATTTAAACTTATAATTTATTAATTTTTATAGAGCAAATCGATGAGTTGGAGGCCCTAGACTCATCGAGTAGAGATGTTCTGGACTGCGCATTCTGGGTGACCACCTCGACGAGTTGGGAGGTACCAACTCGACGAGTTGGCTGGGTGAAATGAAACCCTAAATTTAGGGTTTTATACACTATTTAAACACCTTAAACCTTTCATGCTGGCCTCATTTCCCAACTTCCACTGTCCTAACCCTAAATCTTGAAACCCTAAGGCATTTGTGAGAGTTTGTGAGCCATTTTGGGTGTTTTTGGTGTGTGTTGAAGCCATTGGAAGAAGGAAAAGCTTGAAGACTCAAGAAGGAGCTTGTAGATCCAGAATCCTTGCCTCATCCATGACCCTTTTCTGGTATAAAGCTTGAACAATGACTTGTAGTTGTTTAGATCTTCTTTTGGGGTATTTTGCTTGGTTTTGGCCCAAATATCATGGTCCTTGGGATTTGGACATCCCGAATGGGTTAACACTTCAGATCTAGGGTCTTGAGGGGTTTTCATGGCATGAAGGTGCTAACTTTATGGCCATGGAAGTCCCATGCAACCTTTAGACCATCATTTTGATCCTTCGAGCTCCAAATGACCATGCATATGGATGAAGTTTAAGACTTTACGTGACCTTTCAATCCTTAGATTCCAGATCTATGACCTCATGGTCTATCTTGTAGTTTGGTGGCTTTTGGATGAAGACTTTCACATTTATGGGTTAGGTTTTGAGCTTAATATCATTAGGAAGGGTATTAATGGGTAAAGTTGGAAACTTTACCCTCCTAGAGGCATTTCCAGACTAGATCTGGAGTATAGGGTGTGGATATGAAGAATAATGGCTTAATGCATTAAGAAGGGTCAACAGACTGAAGAACTCTACGAGTTTAAAAAGGAACTCGGCAAGTTGATTAGAAGTGTCCCAATTTTGTTGTAATGGATGAACTCGACTCGTTAGGGAAAACTCGACGAGTCAACCATGGATAGCGCGATTATGTGAGTTATGGAAACTCGTCGAGTTGGAAGACAACTCGGCTAGTTGGATCACAATATCATGATTCTGTGATTCATGGGAACTCGACAAGTTGAAGGGAAAACTCGATGAGTTGAGTCAACTCGAAGCGTTGACTTTGACTTTGACTTTGACCAAAAGTTGACCCTTAAGTGGATGGTGGATATGAAAGGGTAATTAAGGAAATATTTTATGTTCAGAGGATTGAGTTGGGTTGATATCAATGTTTTAAAAACCGGTTTTTTAATTGAACCGGTCGAGTGACGTTTTCCGGTTCAACTGGTTTAACCGGTTCAACCAGATGGTCAAACCGGTTCTATATTTTTATATGTTTTTAATTATCCTGCATACATTGATTACAAAAAAATTGTCATCTTTTTAGTATTACAAACGTAAACAGAATGCAACATATAAAAATAATCATTATAGAAGTCAAAATCAAACAAAGAAGACCAAAACAAACACAAAAATCGAAGAATGTCCGGTTCAACCTGGTCCATTCCGGTTCAATTCAGCCGGTTGAACCGGTTTTTTACCAAAACCAGCCGGTTCAATCCAGTCAGAAAATCATTATAAAACCGGTCCAAATCGAACCGCCCTCACCTCCGGTTCCTGGTTCGACCGGTTCAACCGGCCGGTTCGAACCGGTTTTTAAAACACTGGTTGATATTTGGAGTCGGGGACTGTTCAACTACTTCCAGTTTTCGAGGTGAGTTACCTTCCCGGTATAAGTTGGTCGAAGGTACCAATGTCGTCCCACTAGTAGTTGTTTATAGTGGAGATGATTGTCTTTGTGATAATTTTCTGGTATGCCACTATCTGTTGAGATTTATGTACTTGTATGCTATATTATTACGTAGTAGTGGTAGGGCTGAAGCAGACCCCATAACCGGTCGGTAGAGACCAAAGGGGTAGGTCAGCACCCATATATGT